TCAAAGACTTTCTCCAGTTCCACATTTCCATTGTTTCCTACCTGAAAGTTCAGTGATGTCGAAAAATTAACTATAAATATGATCCTGTCACTGTAGCCACAGGGCCAGACGTCTTAACAATTAAACCATCCTACCATCTAAACTAATAAACAAAAATAATTCTACAAACTTAAATAATATAACCAAGAGCATTTTTAAAAAAATAAAATTATGTCCAAAATATTAAAGATTTATACAAAAAGTAAAAGCTCAATAGCCGTTATATCGGTTTTTTCCATTTTGTAGTCGGTCATTGGTTGATAGAAGGAATAAAATTTTAGATAATCTAAATATTTTTATATATAATACATTTTTAAATAGTAATAAATGAATTCACTTGTATGAACGTACCTTTCCGAGGATGGTAAGAATGTTTGCGTTCTTCAGATTTTCGTCCGATGGAATTTCATTATAGAACAATCCTATCTGGAAAAAATGATAAAATGGAGAACTGAAAAATAAAATTTATTGATTTAATTCTGTTTTAAAACATTCAAAAAAATATTTAAAAAATTAATTTAAACTGCAACAAATTGACTTCAAAATCCAAATTCTGGTCATCAAGCTGGTGTTCGGATGGCCAGCTGAAAAATATTCCCTGCAACTGGTTTTTGCCCCCTGTTGGGTGCAAATTTCTTCTGTCTAGGAAGGCTGGTGGGAGGTTGTTTTGAAAAATGAAATATCAATTAATTCATTTACTTTATCATAAATTCTCTTTTTCTTAATTCTCAGCAGAAGTCTAAATCGCGCATATAAAGGTATAAATGTGCGGTGACCTCTTTGCATCCCAACTCAGACACAGCATTTGCAGAGTCAGGTGTATAACAATTAAACCATTCCGTCATCCAAATTATTAAGCGTAAAGAAATGTACAAATTTAAATAATGTAATCAAAAAACTTGGTAAAATAAAATTATGACAAAAATAATAATACTGGGACTAAAACTGTGAGGAAATATTTCGTTAGATATTATACAACACAGACCAAACTTCCCACTGTTCCTAAGTTGAAACTTCAGGGTGCCATCCATCTCTAGGAAATCAAGATCTTGATAACGATAAGAATGGGTATTTGTGGGGATGTTGATAGGGGACTGGGGCCGGGTGGAACATCTGCAGCCCTCAAATGTTTCCAGTGATGACGGGTACTTAAGTACATTTGTACTTAAGTACGTACTTAAGTACGTACTTAAGTACAAATGTAGTACTTAGATACTTATACTTAAGTACATATGAGAACCTGTACTTAAATACTTATACTCAAGTACATTTTTCAGTACTTGTACTTATAAGTAATAAATATTTCCTGTAAGTACCAGAAAAATTTTAAGCAAAAATAAGATAATGTCAACATTTAAAAATTGAAAACTGTGATGAAAACACACACACACATTTTCACATTGACATTCTTGTTTATCTCTCTTATCAACATTTGTTCTTGTTTAGTCATGGATAGCGGGATGTTAAGATAACCATTGGCTAATTGAGTCATTAAAAGGTGGTTAACTCACATCACTCTGACATCTATATATCTATATCATAGACTCTACATGATCTATATACACATGCACGCTATATATAGTAGTTATTATATATATATATATATATATATATATATATATATATATATATATATATATATATAACAATCCTTATAAATATATGTGTTAAAGTGTTTTTGTTCACATTTTAAATATCTATTTTTTTTTGAATACATATTAATTAATATTATTTTGTTAATAAATCTCGAATTAACTCTCCATTAAATTTCTATTTATTGCATTTTTCATTTTTATATATAGAAGACACATGGTGAAAATTATCTACAAAAGATGCACGAGGAAGAAAATAAATTAAAGACGGGTAGAAAGCGAGGTGCAGATGAAGAAACTACCACAGTTTCAACTCCATATAAAAAACAACAGCAACTTGACTTATTAAATGTATCATCAATATCAAATAAAAAGATTGAGGATTTAATAATTAAGTTTGTTATCAACGACTTGCAACCACTTTCAATTGTGGAAGGAGAGGGGTTTAAAACTTTGATACAGGGTCTGAACTCAAAAGCCCGAGTTATGTGTACCGAGACATTAAAAGGTATTCTGGCCACAAAGATTACTGATATGAAGAAGACTATTAAAGAGACTCTAAAAAATTTTCAATTTGTTTGCACGACTGCTGACATTTGGACGCAACATACTCGAAGTTATATTGGAGTAACTTGCCATTGGATAAATCCAGATGATTTTAAGCGCAATGGCGTTACACTTGCCTTCCGTAGGTTCCGTGGAATTCATTCGTATGACAAAATTGCAGCCATGCTGGTGAACATTCACAGCGAGTTTGATCTGGATTCATCGAAAATAGTAAATGTCGTGACAGACAATGGTAGCAATTTCGTGAAAGCATTCAAGGAATTTGCAGAGGCAGGTATTTCTGATGATTCGCAAATAGATGTTGATGATGATGATGATACAGAAATGACTCCAGTTGAGATTGGTGATAAGTTTTTGGAAAGTAATATAGATGACAGCTCCGGAATTTATCTTCCTTCTCATGTATCTTGCTTTTCACACACTCTAAACTTGCTTGCTACAACTGATGCAAGTAAAGCTTTGAATAATGATTCAAACTACAAAAGAATATATAGATCGGTATCCAGTAAGTGTGTCTCTCTCAGCACCGCATCACACCAGAGTTCAAAAGCTGCTGAAATTGTGCATGAAATCTTAGGCAGAACAATACCCAAACCGAATGGGACACGCTGGAATTCTGAATTTGACTGTTATAGCATTATATATAATCTTCGCGATAAAGTAAATGTTGTGATGGAACGTTTGCAGCTGCCGAAGTTCAGCAATATAGATTTGAGTTTTCTTAATGAGTGGTTGGAACTGATGAGACCAATTTCACTAGCATTGGACAAGCTCCAAGGTGAGGTTTCAATGGAGTCTTATTTTGGTGCTGTCTTACCAACTATATTTGTTATACAGCGAAAACTGCAATCTTTTACTCCATCGTACACTTCAGCTCTTGTTTCTGCTCTTCAATGTGGCATGGATAAACGCTTTGGCGATATAATTGACTTTAAAGATATTTCAAGCAACAGCAAGATGAGAGCATTTGTTGTGGCTTCGATCAGCCATCCGTTTTTTAAAATCAGGTGGATAGAATCATCAGTTCGTGAGCAAGTTGAAGACTTGTTTCTAGCAGAAGTGGTCAGAATGAGCAATTCTTCAACACTTTATGAAGACAGAAATACTAGAGGTTGTACTAGTGCAGATTTTTATGGATTCCACGAACCAAGTTCCGAATCACGATCGAATGAAAAAGTTGAAGGACTGCAATATCT